TTATATACTAGAGGAAGAGAAAAATTTCGAAGTTATAAACTCGATATATATTCGAAGAAAATCAGCGTTCCATTTATACTAGTAGCAGAAGCGAAATAAAGAGGTGAATGACTTGTCGACAAAACGGTCAGTTTACAGTATAGAACATATACTATTTTTATCATGAAACGGCTCACGAGGACATTGGAACATAAAGATCTTGACGGTACCAGATGCTATCGAGCGAGAACTATCGACTGTATATCATTTCGTTGTAACTAACTATTGATTAAAAGTACTTGCCTGATACGGCATAGTTACGGCGCGTATACTGCGGTCGAATACGCCACATTTACGTAGCACCGTAAACGAAAACTGTATACGGCGCCGTATTATACCGTAATTGAACTGTAATATGGTGCACCGTATACGGTCACTGCTTCCAGGCCGAAAATCACCGTAATTTAGCCGAATACGGTCGTTTACGTACCGTATTGTTCGACCTGGGGGGCTACCCTCGCCTGCATAATTCTGTATAACACAGTAATTTACGATGTTACCAATGGCAGCTACATGGAGAAACTTAGACCCCAAATGCAGCCGGTAGCAAGAAATTGGAAAAATTGTCTTAATAATTTCAATTTTTCCACCAGAAAGATGTGTCTTTGGAACAGAAGCGAGATGATAATCAATCCGTGTGAAAACCGAACTGAACGATGCATATTACAGGAATTTTTGAGCAAACAAGTTTTTCGAAAACTTTCCCCTTGGCTCAACCATACAACCATGGACTAAACTTTTAAAAAAGAGGTTTTTTGCTCTGAACTATTTATTCGCAAGTTATGATAAGGTTGCAACGAAGACCTAAATTCTTAAAAAAGCTTCAGCGAAATGTTCTTCACATATACTAAAAACTAGCATGCATAAACTGATGGCGCAATGACTCAGTTGGTTCGATTGCAGGTATGTAAAATAAAGTATCACATGTTCGCTTCTAACCTATGCCAGAGTCTTTCTTTCATCTAGACTAGTCCAGACGCGGTCAGTGTATAGTTCATCAGCGACACTACTACTATTGCGGACGGTTTTCTTTTAATTAACGGTTAAAATTTTGGACTAGTCATGACGGGGTCGTTTTTGTCGTAAAGACTAGTCGGGACGGTCGTCCGAACTAGGAAAAAAGACTAGTCATTTGACCCGTCTTTAAGTGTGTGAGTGGACCGGCGCTAGAGGATGTTTCATAAAAATTCTTAAGCGCTCGACTAAACTAAGTCTAGACTGAAATCAGACAAAACGAAGACTTAAGTGTAGCCTTAGTTAAGTCGAGCACTTAAGAATTTTGATGAAACACCCTCCTGACTCAAGTACTACCAACAATGGTTGGTAGCGCCATTGCGAAAAAATTAGTGCTCCCAGACGAGGGAGCATAGAAACTAAAAGTTCTCGACAGAAAAAATATAACGGCTTTCTGATTCTTTTAAAATGCTTTTTCTGCATTCATGATACGATTGAGTTGCATTGCAATTAACAACGGAAAAAAACGGTCCAATCAAATTTTTCGTGTGATGTGAACAAAGCTCTTAAGTTTCAACTTTTCTACTTTTTGTTCGTTTTTTGACACTGCAACTTTCAAACGCTTTCTAGAATTCGCAATCAAAGCCAAAAGATGAATGACAGTGAGAAAGAAAATGTAAGTTCAAAATACTTATTTAGACTTTGAGCACTTCAGAAATAGATAATTATCAATGGTGGAATCAGAGGGTTATTTATAAATATTTATGAGTGACTTTTAAACTTAAATCAGAGTCTCGACTTTACCTCAGTTAAGGACTGACTTAAGTTTGCTTTAATTGCACGGAAGATGACCTTAACTTTATACCAATGAATAATTACGTATATTATGTAGTTTCAGATAGTATTTGGGCATATTAAATACTTGCCACTATAGATGAGTAGATCCTGTTGCGGCAATTATTAAAATCTTACAGTTCTTTTTGTTTGTTTGTTTTTATTTTGAAGATAGAAGAAGTCGTTAATCCATGGCTATTGACAACTTATTATAAACGTTTATTTCCAACACATGTTTACTGTAAATGGCTTGCATATGGCGAACGTAAGTAATTTGGAAGACTGGAATTTTTCTTATGGATATTACCTTTTTCTCTCATTTTAGCTACTAATTCTCAATTGTTTAGTAATCGTGAATTTAGCTTTACGAGAGGGAACGATATTTATTGTCGACATTTGTCATTTACAAATCATTTGGAATTTGAAAAAGAATTATTACGACCACCAATAGCGTCTAAAATTGATATAGGAGCCGTTTTTACAATAAAAGTATATCTTTATACATGTTCTGAGCAATAGAACAAGATAGACATATTTGTCTTTTGTAGCCTAGTGATCATAAAAAGGTACCATCAAACCAATACCAACCAACCGAACGGGAACTTGTATTCGATATTGATTTAACAGATTACGATGATGTGAGATTTTGTTGTAGGTTAGTACTGCAGACGCCAAACTGCGACGTGCTAAGAGTTTTAGTTAACGGCCCATACTTTCAGGCGTTCTCGGATCTAACTCTATCCAGGATAATTTATTGGGTTTTAGTGAGGCAGACATATGTAAAAAGTGCTGGTCGTTAGCGAAAGTAGCAATCAAAATCATTGATAAAGCATTACAAGGTAGAAAAATCGCGTATTTATCGTAATATCTTCTGGAACTGTGTTTTTGATGTATTGTAGATGATTTTGGTTTTGAACAACGTCTATGGATTTATTCTGGTCGACGTGGTGTCCACTGTTGGGTGTGTGATCCGCAGGCAAGAGAATTGCAACCAAGTGGACGAAGTGCGATTGTTGAATATTTGACACTTGTTACTGTATGAATGATCAGTATGAGTCATAATACCTAAATCAACTAGTCTTCTACTGTTTAGGGTGGTGAAAATACATCAAAGCGTGTTTCATTTTCTCAGCCGCTTCACTCATCGATACAGTATGTTTTTTCATCTTGTTCATGTTTGTACGTTTTTACACATTGTTTGTTGTGTAGACGAGCGAAACAATTTATTCAAGAGATGTTTATTCGTTATGCGTGTGTTGATCAAGCGTTTTTGGGTGAAAATGATGATGAACAAAATGATAAAAAAATACAACGGTTTCTTCGATTATTACCAGAAGATAATATCCTTTTGTTCAAGTTTGCAATCTCCTACTTACTAAAATCTATATTTCTCTCTTAACTATGTTGATATTAACGCCGTTCATTTGTAAAAGATTTGTTATTAAAATTTGATACGTCTCCACAACGATGGGCAGCATTCAATCGTTATGTTGAAAATGAAACTAAAAATACTAAAGTATGTTCACTACTCAATAAATCATGTCTACTTAAAGTCTTCTATTGATTTAGTCTCGTTATCCGTCAAAATATTTGTCATCAATCATTGATGAAATTCAATTTGAATATTGTTATCCCCGTCTAGATGTCAATGTAACCAAAGGTATTAATCATTTACTCAAGAGTCCATTTTCAATCCATCCAAAAACTGGCCGAGTTTGTGTACCGATTGATGTGACTAAAATTGACTCATTTGATCCATTTACGGTACCAGAATTAAGAACATTGTGTCAGCAAGTCGATGCGTTAGGAGTGACACATCAAAGTACTGGAATAGCACAACAGGATGGAAAACACAGGAGTAAAGGTGAGTCTTACCAAAATCCACTTGAAATCATGACTTTGTTGGCTAATGTAATCACAATCACGGTTTGCGCGTTCCATTTTTAGATTATAATCAAACAAGTTTAAAACCTTATGTTGAACTGTTTTCGAAATTTGTTCAAAAAACCCAAATGAATAACCTAGAAGAAACGTTGGCTAAAAGTGGTATGTTTATAACATTTAACTCGCTTTGAAATCAAGTTTCTCGAAGTGCTCTTTCTGTCTGTGTTTTAGATCTTAAAGCAATGATTACTGGTGATATATAAATTGTCCATTATATTGAATCGTCAGATATTTTTTACTTAGTGTGTCTAAATAAGTCAGATTAATTTGCTCTACAGATATTTTTTCGATGGTCTTTATTTAATATACTTTTGCTCAACTATGTTGTACATGTTTACTTTTGTTAGTGCTGAGAGACTTTCGACAATAATAAGTTTTGTTCTGGTGCACGATGTTATTAGTCTTAATATATCTGTACAAAAAGTAGTATATATAAACAGTGTTGAGGGCAATATCTATTTGAATTCGTAATACAAATAAGCGCTTCATGTTCTTAAACACAGAACCGACTACTATGGGTATTAGACTCCGCTGTGATAAACAAAACGCTAGTTGCTAATACTCTTCCTTCTTACGTATTAGGATTCCATCGTCGCAACGAATTGACAGGTTGTATTATAATAAGTCTCTTCAGTACGGAGGAATCCATTCAAAGCTTTTAATAGAACCAGTACAGAAGGTAGGGTCTATATTCAAATGCTTCTCAACTGATAATCAATGTAATCGAGCATGAATGGTTTAAGCTTTCTCTTCCAATTTGACCTTTCTCTGGTGGTATGACCAGCTCGCATCTATCATGCAACCAAATAGTTTAACTAAAGATGATTTTGTATCCAATGGATATCTATTTTACGTCAAGGAATTCTGACTTGAAATTTCCTTCAAGTAGCACATTGTCTGTTGAGAGTGCATATGAGAAAAGGTTATAATTTATTACGAAGTAACATATCACCACATTTTAAAAGGTTGCTCGATGAGAACCGAGTGCAGATTCATCTTCATAGTTGATTATCTGGTATGCGATAACGTTTGGATGAAGGTGATCTGGAAAAAAGTTTTCTCGTAATTAGGAACAATTGTAGAGATTCTATCGACATAGTCGATGTGATGCTCTTTCTAATTTCGGCTGATTTAAATGAGAATAAGCTCTTACCTTCTACTGATACCGTTGGGTTCGACGCTACTGCTGATATACTCGCAACTTTTTATTGCGATTTTTTTTCCTCTAGATAAATAGACTTCAACGTTCTGTCATGCATACCGATGATTTTAACAACGTTCGAATTCGTTTGACTCCAGTTGATCGAGTTCTTCTCACTCGAGCTAATGGACAATGGAAAGCCAGCCCTCGAGCTGCAAAAACGCCTTTACCTAGAAGCGGAGGAAGTGAACGTCTTCGTCGTCAAACAAAATCCAAACCAGAAACTCCAACAAAAACTCCCGTAGAAGTAGAAGCCAGAACAACCTCATACGATCTTCGGCAACGAACTCCAGCAAGGTTAGAAAATCACTCACATAGAATTCCGAAATTCTTCGTAAAAATTATTTAGTTCTGAAAAAATATAAACAATTTCTTTTTGTCTGTAGTCGGCCAACTACTCCAATTTCGAATTTGAGCAAACACATTAAGACACCAGTCACAACAAACATTACTCCAAAATCCATAACACGGAAGAAAGAAGCCACTCCAAAACCATATGGTGCTAAAAAGAAGATATCATCAATGAAAAATTTGTTAAATTTCGATAATCAAAGTGACAAAGAGAATGAATCGGAAAAGGACGATGATGAAGAATACCAAGATACGAGTGAAAGTAGCGAAAGTGAAAGTGAAGTTGAAATAATTTTTTCATCCGAAGATGAAAAATCAAAAAATAGTGAAGATGATTTTATAATACCAACAACAAAAAAACTCCCATGTACAGCTCAAACGTCAACAACAGCGAATAAAAAACGGCGACAATCGTCGACAACTACAACAACGCCAAGAACAAAATCACAAAAACATCTAAGAAAAAACTCAACAAGAAAAGCACTTTTAGAAGGCGTATGTAGTTCAGCAAAGTAGCTAAGATAGATAGATCAAGCATATTTAGCGTTGTATTACGAACTTGCTTTTCTCTGACTGACAGTGAAGAGGTTATATTTGTTTTTTTAGATGAATACGTTAACATTGGCTGATCTTCAAAAGCTGACATCAATCAATGATGATGACGATATGGATAATATTGTGATAAATTCATCAAAATCAAATAAATTTGAACAAGCGAGAAACTGGTATCTTCTTTTTCACAACAGCATGTTTATTCTTGTGGCGTCGTTGTTTACCTTTTCTTCTCGTTTAGTTTACTTCCATCTCGCCTTCCACCATCGCCACCATGTCGAGAAAAAGAGTCATGTGAAATATTGAGTTTTATAACAACAAAATTGGATGCAAAAGCAGGAGGGTAAGTAGAAAGATAAACAAAGAAGAAGTCAGCTACTCTTTAACTCGTTAAAGATACTAGAGAAAAAAGAAAAGTTTGATGTTTAGCAGAAATATTCTTCGATGTGGTTTGTGAACATCATATTTTTGTTCATTCTAGTTGTTTGTATGTGTGTGGTGTACCTGGAGTGGGCAAAACAGCAATTGTTTGTAAATGTGTTCGTGATTTAATGCTAATGACATATGACACAGATTTACCAGAGTTTAAATTTATTTTCTTAAATGGAATGAAATTAAATAAACCACAAAAAGTGTATACACAATTATATCAAGTACATGGTAGTGAGTATAGTTGTTGAAAAATGAGTTGTTTAACTCGTTTATTTTAGTCATTATATGGAGGTATTAAAAGAAGTCCTCGTCTGGCATGTAAATTATTGCACAAATATTTTTCTGACAAAGTAACAAAACTGCCCATTGTTCTATTACTCGATGAAGTAAGTAGTCAGATTTTGAACTTTTTACAATGTATATTTGTAATACATTTTTCTGTTTTCAGGTTGATTATTTTTATACGAGAAATCAAGATATATTGTACAATTTTTTCGACTGGCCTAATTTGCCCTATTCAAAATTAATTGTTATTGCTATTGCGAATACAATGGATTTACCAGAGACAATGATGAAGAAAAAAGTACAATCGAGATTAGTAAGTCTAGAAGTTGAACGCAAAATCTTTCAGCTTGACGTTTGACGCTTCCAGTTGACCGTTAGGCGTACGTACAAGGAGTAAAAAGCACGTTCCAGAATGAGTAAAAAATTTCTGGAATGCCATTCCGCAATGGTGGAATGTCACTCTAAAATGGTGGACTGCCATTCTGGAATAACAGAAATTTTTTCAGTTTTGGTCTAAATCTTGGTCTATATAAAGCGAAGCTCGGCTTCTAAAAAATGGAATGGCAAAATGGCATTTCACAATAGACGTATTCCGGAATGGATACATTTGCCTTGTAGTGCTTTTCCCCCCCTTGCGTATATGACAGCTAACTATATTCCAAGAACGTATGGATGAAAAATTTTCATTTATGATGTATTAGAACCGTTATATAAAAAAATCAGACATATTTGGGCTTGTGATAATTAACGAAAGAGAATGAATAATCTCGAATATTCACAGCAAAACTTTCGGATGATAAAGAGCAAGTACGGTACAGTACATTACTATACAACGAAAACAAATTCACATTTGACAGTTCCTTTGCATACATTTGTGTTTTTCACGTGTAATACTGTTTTGTAATATTCTAGGGTTTAAATCGTATTAATTTTCCACCCTATACATTTAAACAATTAGTAGAAATTGTTCATGTTCGTTTGAATGGTTTGGATATATTTGATCGTGATTCATTGGATTTAATCTGTCGAAAAGTGGCTGCTATTTCTGGTGATGTTCGACGTTTATTACAAATATGTACGAGAACAGTTGAAATAGCTGAACAAGCATATTTATCGAAACAAACTCAAGATAAAGAGTTAATTACTATTGAACACGTACAAAAAACATTTCACATTTTATATACGTCACCGAAAAGTGTTTTCATCAAGTATGTGCGAAATAGAAATATGTCTTAAAACTACATCTTTATTGTTATTATTGTAGAAATTTGACACTAGTTCAACGTCAAGTTATGGAAGCTATTCACGATGAACTATTTTATAGTGGAAAAGAAGTTACAACTCTTTCGGCTATACACGATCGTTTAGGTATGCAACTTTGGTTACTCGAACTTGTGGAAATATAGGCGTCTTAAAATCACTTGTTGATGTCAAATAACGGGATATATAAACCGCAACTGACGTTTCGCGATAAAGGTGTCATGACAAGAAAGATTCCTCTTTCTTCATTGATTTCGATCATAATGTGATTTATGAGTTTTGCTGTTTAGATGCGCGTCAATATTGTTTCGTTGATGTTCGTCGTATATGTGCAATATTTTCAGCTGCTGGTCTGATCTTATTGGATAAGCAATGCCACAATTATTTGAGACAACGCGTACGACTAAATATGACATTACCAACACTTACGTATGCATTGAAAAATGATTAATTCTTTACATCTTTCTTCATTGTAAGAAATTCACTGTGGATACATATGATGTCAGATCTTCTATATTCGTAGATTTTCTTTCATTTATTCTCCCTTATTGATGAACCACTCTATTTTTTTGAACATGTAAGATTTTATTGTCAATTGAATATTCATATATTTTTTGTAAACCTCGTTTTCATCGGATATTTTTCGGTGAGAAATATAACTTTTGTTTAAACAAAGGTGTATGGCAAATACACGTGAAGTTGTATAAATATTAAGTAAAGCATTAATATTTCAAATGGATGAACAAAGAAGGAAAGAACCAGAAAGTGTTTCTTTTAACGTGAACATGTTGTAATAGTGATGCTTGTTATTAATGTAGAATCGAAGTGGGCATAACCCAAGATCATAACCAACAACTATTAATTGTCGTTGTTTATCATCACATTTGTTCTAAGCTATTATGTTTAGAATGTTGGTGTTCATTTTCGTAGAAACGTTTTGTTAAGAAGTAGCATACATGCAACAATACAAAAGCAGATGCCGAAATGATAGGTATTTCGGATGGTATTTCGGAAAATTTTTTCTAGAGACTGAAACGTTGTGTGTCGTTAGAAACAGCAAAGTCTGATAACTTGTGTCAGATACATATGTATGCAAATGTGGAATTTCCAGATCGTGAAGAAACCTTTTTACCCATTTAATACTTATTGTACAATTTCATGTTACTTATTGTTTAGAGTAGTGTAAAAATCAAGATCATCTGATATCTAGTCAGTTTATAGTTAGAAATATTTTACATAGTCTAAAATATCAGAGAAAATACGAATGTCGTGAAAAAGTGATTCTAGAAAGTATTTTGTATAACTATCAAACGAACTAACTTCAACTCAAAAAACACATTTGGCGCGTTTGTGTTGATGATTTTGTAAAATAAACTGGTTCATATATATGTATGATCCATGCGCTTACAGACGTTTGTGCACGCTTTTTGATAAAATGTGTTTGAACGTTTCGTCTTGGGTGGCACGTTTAGAGACCGAGTCTAAACGGGTTTGTACACATAATGTTGAGAAGGTGTGAAATTAACGGTGTTTGAATGAGTGTTTTTTGCATAATACGTTTCTGTAGCTTTTTTCAAAATGAATTGTACTCAAATGCGTTTTGTCTTTATGGTATTTTTTTAGTCGAACAACTATAGTATAGCGGGGAAGTTTGTGGAGTAACGTTTGAAAATACATATAAGGTTGGCAAAACAAAGCTTCCCGTAAGCAAATGATAGTTGTAGGTAAGATTTCAACTCTAGCATTCGCTTCTCTCACAAACAACAACATAGTATTTGGAGAAAGTGCCCTAGTCGATGGCTTGTTTTGCATTTTTCATTAACATCTTCACTAACAAAGTTTCCTTGCATCCTGCAGCATCTTGATTCAACAACTTGCACTACACTCACAATAGTAGATTCCTCTGGACCATTTTCTTCTGAAAAATCACGAATTCTCTTCTACGACTTTTGACCCACAATCAAGATGAGCTAGAGGACAAAATAGAAGAGCAGATGGTCTTCTGTCCTGGATGGAGTTAGGAAGGATATCTTACCATCAAAACGTTGATTCTTCCCAGTACAAAAACTATGTAGTGAATGTTGGTATGAAAAGTAGGGGACAATCTGTCTCTTTCCTTTTAACTGAAAAATGATTTGACAAACGCTCTATTCATGAAATATTAGAAAAAGACGTGCTAAGATTAATCTCAGTTTGATGCGCGACTTATGCCTTCATTTTATTTCAAATGTTCGTATATAAATAAACCTATGCGTTAGAAAAAGAAAAACAGCAACAACATTATATCACTCGGATCTCAAAAATGGCTAATTTACTAATATTTCTATCAGCAACGCTGGTATTTGCACTGGCTTACGTTGAAGCCCAGTATGTCTATCCTGCTGCTTATTATGGACCCGCTTATTATGAACCCGTTTATTATGAACCCATTTATTATTCTGACTACCCTAGTGATGATAGTAGTAGTAGTTCCAGCGATGACAGTCATTATCCTGACCACAAACTAGAGTACAAACCAGAGTACAAACCAGAGTACAAACCAGAGTACAAACCAAAGTACAAACCAGAGTACAAACCAGAGTACAAACCAGAGTACAAACCAGAGTCCAAACCAGACAGATACAGACGAGATGCAGAAAAGAACGACCAAGACAAACCCATCGCACAGTATTCAGCAAAAGAAAACCATCTTCGCGAAGATCAAGATGATCATCACGGATTCAATGACATCCGTAAAAAAGAAAAGTAAGCTGCTATGAGATGTGCGAACAGAATACACACTATTTGTGTTGATTTTTAGAGATAATAGGGGAAATGCGAAACAACTGCATGAAAGAAATAATTATTATGATCGAAACAGCGACAAAAAAGCACAGAATGCTGAGGTGGCAAACAAACTATTTAAAGATCGTACATCGTTTGAAGGTAAAGCACATAAGGAAAAGTCTCAGACACATGACGCTGGAAAAGATCATGAATTAAGCAAAAAAGAACGTCATAGTGGTTATCCTCAGAAGCATAAAGGACATCCCGCCAAAGAAGAACATCATAGTGGTTATCCTCAGAAGCATAAAGGACATCCCGCCAAAGAAGAACATCATAGTGGTTATCCTCAGAAGCATAAAGGACATCCCGCCAAAGAAGAACATCATAGTGGATATCCTCAGAAGCATAAAAGATATCCCGCCAAAGAAGGAAAGTGAGTAATGACTCCCATTGAATAGTACTCTTCGACAGAGAACGCTTTTTATTCTTTTATTATAGAGGCCACGATAACTGGAATAAGAAGGAACTTCGGGAACAGTCCTCTGATAATCTGCACAAACACCACACAGAAATCGATAATGAAGAGGTAAAGGAAGTTAAAAAGCCTGACTACCCAAAGAAGCCATAATTCGATAAAGGAAGAAAAGACCAACCACCATGGTGAACAGTATAGAAGAGTATGAACTGAAATTCAATCATCTTTGTTTTCATGTGTATTTTATTCTTGCGCTCAGTTGATGTGTTCATATTTTTTGAATAAATGTCACTCGCATCATAACATGGTGATTCTCATCAAATCATGTTTGATCAGGAGAAGCATCAACTGATAGGAGAGATAAAAAGTGGACTTAAACTGATGAAGTCTCTTCCAAATCCTGAATCCTCACTCGGTTATGGTGGTGGAAATTGACTAGTGTGAACAAATCGCTTGATATTTTGATATGGCTACAAAGTAGAAGCAATGACTGTGCTCAGAAACAAAAGCGATGATCCAGCAAAGATCGGATGGGAGCACTCGCCATAATCTTGGTGGAATTCCAGAAACAATGTTTGATAAACAAGTTCTGTTGTGGATTGACATCAATCTGCTCTTGGCTCACAGAATTGAATAGCACAATGGCGAAAGTACAGGAGTGAATGGCATAGCCATTTGATACGTAACAGAGTAAAGATCAGCGTTTTCCTACTGGAATTTTACTCTGTCTGGAATCAAATGATATGAGATTGTAGCAAAAGATGTGGTCTATAAAATGGAAAAAGCAATATTACTCTTGAAAGACTAGATATATTGGAAAAAATCCATTTTTTCTCAGTAGACAGCGCCAAAGACCAACTAACGCCGAAAAGCGACAGTTATATCTCGTAAACCATACGAGACAAAATGTTGACTTCTAACACGGTAGTAGGCCTGGTGTAGGAAAACAAAATAAATTTTAAAATTGCTTCAGAGGAAAAAGAATTATCCTGTTTTTACATGTAGAAAATGAACGGTACAATGGCTATGCCATTTCACTCTCAGAGAAAAGAGAGAGGCAGCGGTGTTCGTAGAGATTAATCCAC